CAAGAGCCAATTTTGGACACTCCTATAGAGACGTTTTTGAAAGGAAAAAAGGCACCATTGGTATTTCTTCTTCCTGGTACACCCCCACCAGCCCACAGTGGTCTTGCAGCGCAGAAATATGCCTTTAAAAAAGCCCAAAGAGACTCATGCGAGTGAGTTGTTCGTGAGCAAGAGTGAAAACACTGAAGTCTATCCTGAGAAATGTGATGTTCAGTTCTATTCGCCGCTTGAACGAGTCTGCGAACCTTGTTGTTGTTTTGGTGAATGTCAAGTTCAGTACAACACGCTGTATTTCTCAGTTCTGGAACACTGTGTCTTCGTAAATGAGTCAATGGACTTTTTTTGTGTGTGTTTCTCTGTCTCTTGTGCTGTCCTTGTCTTGTCGTTTGTATGGACCTTGAGGCCGGAAAAAATATTATTATTATTATTATTATATGAATATACTTTTTATTTGACAAGCTTCATGTTAATTGCCCTGATCTCTCTTCTGTTTGGACGGCACTCAAACCTGGGCCTGGCCTCAGATTCTGCAAGTTCTTGAGTAAAAACCAGTGGGGCAGGTCCCGGCTCAAAAATTTTCAAAGATGCTGCAATACCACCCCTGGCCAGTGGGGGCGGACCCGGAAATTACAATTAGTGAATGCAAATATAGCGTCTTCTTACCTCTCAAAAACGTCTTTACAGGATGGTCCAAAAGTGGCTCTTGGCCCAAAGCTCCGTTCCACAAGTGTATCAATGCTGAGGGGGGTGAATTATTTTGGACCATTTTAGTTTAGCTGCTGTAGAATTTTGAAGTCACATGTTAAATGAATGGGGCTCGTGCAGCTGACGCATGCGCAGATATATTTTTTCACATTTTCCAGCCCCCGCGGCCATTTATAAAATGACCATAGACGGCGAAAGTGGTGGCACATTGGTTTCAACTGTGGAGATAGGCGTGACTACGTCCTTTAATATTTACAGTCTATGGTAAAAACAATGAGAGAATGCACAGAGAGGGAGGACCTTCACCTGCCTCAAAAGCAGCTACACTCTCACAGAAACAAACACACACGGAGAGACAGCAACACACCTCTGCATCATGAGGTAAGTGTAAGGCTTGAAACAGTTCAGACAATGTTTTAAAAATGTGGGAAAAGTAACTGGAAGAGAGAACATGATACCTTTATGTAAATGTGATTGCGGATCTGTCTGTCTGTGTGTCCGTCTGTCGTCTGGCCGTCCGTCCGCCCGTCCGTCTGTCTGTCCATCTGTACAGACAGACGGACAGACAGACGGACAACAACACAAGTCATTGTTCGTCTGGGAATATCCATGAACACAGTCACAAAGTCGGTCTCATTCACAAAGACGTGTGAAGCGATGAACTTAAAGATGCAGTCAATGATTTATCCCGGGGTCTGTGCTGTTCGGGTGGTAAATGTAAAAAGCTAATTTTGTCTTCTTATGTTTAAGGCTTTGAAGGTTCTTTTAATAAGACAAGAGAGTAAAGAAATCAGAATCAGAATCATTTTTATTGCCACGTAAGTAACAGGAGGTCACAGACTTGGAAATTGCTTTGGCTCAGTGCAACAGTCAAAAAGAGATAATAAAAATAAGAATAAAAAACACTTCTAAAGAATAAATTTAAATTTAAAATAGAGTTACAGTTACTATTTACAATATACAAGTGCACATGGTGCACACAATGTAAGGTGACAGCAGTACAGTGAAGTAAAGTGACGTATGATGGGCAGTAAAGTGACTTTATAAAGGGCGGGGGGGACAGGTTAAGAAGTGTTCAAGAGTCCAACAGCAGAGGGGAAGAAACTGTTCTTGTGGCGGGAGGTTCTAGTCCTGATGGACCGCAGCCTCCTGCCTGAGGGGAGTGGTTGGAATAGTCCATGTGCAGGGTGAGAGGGGTCGGCTGTGATACGACCAGCCCGGCCTCGAGCTCGGGCGACGTACAGGTCCTGCAGCGATGGAAGGCTGCGGCCGATCACTTCCTCTGCAGAGTCTGTAGTCTCTGTTTGTCCCTGACTGTGGCTCCAGCGAACCACACGGTGACGGAGGAGGTGAGGATGGACTCGATGATGGCCGTGTAGAACTGCACCAACATCTGTGCAGGCAGCTTGGCTTTCCTGAGCTGCCGCAGGAAGTACATCCTCTGCTGGGCCTTCTTGATGAGGGAGCTGATGGTCGGCTCCCACTTGAGGTTCTGGGTGATGGTGGTGCCCAGGAAACGGAAGGACTCCACAGAGGTGATGGGGGAGTCCATCACGGAGGGTGGGGGCGGGGGGACAGTGCTCTTCCTGAAGTCCACAATCATCTCCACTGTCTTCTGGGCGTTCAGCTCCAGGTTGTTACCACTGCACCAGGACACCAGCCGGTCCACCTCCCTCCTGTAGGCGGACTCATCGTTGTTGGAGATGAGTCCAATGAGGGTGGTGTCGTCCGCGAACTTGATCAGCTTCACAGAGTTGTGGCTGGAGGTGCAGTGGTTGGTGTACAGGGAGAAGAGCAGGGGAGAAAGAACACAGCCCTGTGGGGATCCTGTATTTATAATCCGAGAGTCCGAGACATTCTTCCCCAGACGCACTCGCTGCTTCCTGTCCGTCAGGAAGTCAGTGATCCACCTGCAGGCGGAATCGGGCACGTTGAGCTGGGAGAGCTTGTCCTGGAGCAGGGATGGCAGGATCGTGTTGAAGGCAGAGCTGAAGTCCACGAACAGGACCCTGGCGTAGGTCCCCGGGGAGTCCAGGTGCTGTAGGATGTGGTGGAGGGCCAGGTTAATAGCGTCGTCTACAGATCTGTTGGCTCTGTAGGCGAACTGCAGGGGGTCCAGGAGGGGGGAGGTGAAGGACTTGAGATGGGAGAGAACCAGGCGTTCAAATGACTTCATGACAACAGACGTAAGTGCTACAAGTCTGTAGTCATTGAGTCCTGTGATCCTGGGCTTCTTCAGGACGGGGACAATGATGGAGGATTTGAAGCAGGCCGGGACATGGCAGGACTGCAGAGAGGTGTTGAAAATGTCAGTGAACACAGGAGTAAGCTCACTGGCGCAGTGTCTCAGAGTGGCCGGAGACACGTAGTCCGGGCCAGGAGCTTTGCGGGGGTGCAGCCTCAGGAATAGTTGTTTAATTTCTTTAGCGGCTATTGTTAGGCTGGGGGCAGGGCTGATGGGTGGGTCGTTAGAGTAGTGGGGGGTGGGGGAGGGAGAGGTGTCAGGGGCAGCATTCAAGCGACTGAAAAATAAGTTCAGATCGTCAGCTAGCTTGTGGTCGTCAGCACAGGGGGGGGCTTTGGGTTTGTAGTTGGTGATCTCCCGTAGGCCCCTCCAGATAGAAGCAGTATCGTTGTTACCAAACTGCTCCTGTAGTCGTTCTCTGTGCCGGGACTTGGCTGCTTTCAGTTCTTTCCTGAACTGATATTTAGCTGCTTTGTAGCCGCTGCGGTCCCCCTCCCTGAAAGCAGACTCCTTTGCTTTCCTGAGCTGCCGGAGTTTAGCAGTGAACCAGGGTTTGTCGTTGTTATAGATAGACCAGGGTCGGTCCTTGTTGGAATGATGCTATCCTCACAGAAGTGAATGTATGACGTCACAGTGTTCGTGTATTCATCCAAACTATCTGTGGCAGCTCTGAAAAGGTCCCAGTCTGTAGATTCCATGCATGCGCGCAGCTCTTCCACAGCTTCATCAGACCACACTTTGGAGCTCCTCACTGCAGGTTTCGAGAGCTTTAGTCTCTGTCTGTAAGCAGGAACCAGATGTATCATGGAGTGATCTGAGAAGCCGAGGGCTGCTTTGGGAACAGCGCGAAAAGCTCCGCGCACGGTGGTGTAACAGTGATCCAGAGTGTTCTCCTCTCTGGTCGGGCATTTGATAAACTGTCTGTATTTGGGTAATTCCTGGCTCAAGTTTCCCTTATTAAAATCCCCCAGGATAATAATCAGAGAGTCCGGGTATAAACGTTCCATACACAATACTTGCTCTGCAAGTGCGCGCTGAGCCTTGCGCGCGTCCGCGCATGGCGGTATGTAAACAGAGGCAACAATGAATTAAACAATTTCACGCGGGGAGTAAAATGGTTTACAATGGATGAAAAGATATTCCAGAGCAGGAGAGCAGTGCTTGGAGATCACTGTCACATCGTTACACCAGTTTGTATTGACGTAGAAACACAGCCCACCGCCTCTGCTCTTCCCTGAGAGCGCACAATGGCGATCCGTGCGGAACAGCCCAAAGCCCTGCAGCTCCAGAGCGCAGTCCGGGATCCGCTCATTTAGCCAGGTCTCAGTGAAGCAGAGGACACAGGATGTGGCGAAGTCCTTGTTTCTTCTCATGAGCAGGCTGAGTTCGTCCATCTTATTGCCCAGTGAGCGTACGTTGGAGAGAAAAATGCCGGGGAGAGCCGTGCGCGCTCCTCTCCTCCTCAGACGCACGAGCAGGCCTCCGCGCCTTCCCCTTTTACGGGAAGTTAGTACTGCTTAATTACCTGACATGTTTCGTGGGGGCAGCAGTGGCTCAGTTGGTAGAGGTTGTGGGTTCGAGCCCACCAAAAGACCTACAGCAGGGGTCCCCAGTTAAATTGGCACGAGGTCCACTCACTTGATCAGTTCAATAGATCAGGGTCCGGACATCATACAAATGTTCGATTTCATAGAAATCCCTTCAAACTATTTCATATGAAATTATTTGAAAACCTCAAACAACAACGACTACAGTAGTAAGAACTATTTGAAAAAAACTATTTGGAAGCTTCTAAATATAGGTGTGTATAATTCAATTCAATAATAATAATTCAACATTAATCTACTTTGTTTATTTCTACACAACACACCACAAACCTCTCCCAAACACTCAGGGCAGAGTGCTTCTTTCCATCAAATAACGTTTTGCCATCGCCTCCACACTCTGACCATAACAAGACTTTTTATGCCCAAAATCCACAGCACTCGCATTAGCACTGTCTACTGTGAGCACTAAAGTAGGGCATACGCTGTTTGTTCATGCTTTTAATATGTTTTTCATGTGTACCTCTGTCTCGCTCCTCCTTGCTGTTCCTCCTCACACACCTCTGTCTCGCTCCTCCTCGCTGCGCCTCCTCACACACCTCTGTCTCGCTCCTCCTCGCTGTTCCTCCTCACACACCTCTGTCTCGCTCCTCCTCGCTGCGCCTCCTCACACACCTCTGTCTCGCTCCTCCTCGCTGCGCCTCCTCACACACCTCTGTCTCGCACCTCCTCGCTGCGCCTCCTCACACACCTCTGTCTCGCACCTCCTCGCTGCGCCTCCTCACACACCTCTGTCTCGCTCCTCCTTGCTGTTCCTCCTCACACACCTCTGTCTCGCTCCTCCTCGCTGTTCCTCCTCACACACCTCTGTCTCGCTCCTCCTCGCTGCGCCTCCTCACACACCTCTGTCTCGCTCCTCCTCGCTGCGCCTCCTCACACACCTCTGTCTCGCACCTCCTCGCTGCGCCTCCTCACACACCTCTGTCTCGCTCCTCCTCGCTGCGCCTCCTCACACACCTCTGTCTCGCTCCTCCTTGCTGTTCCTCCTCACACACCTCTGTCTCGCTCCTCCTCGCTGTTCCTCCTCACACACCTCTGTCTCGCTCCTCCTCGCTGTTCCTCCTCACACACCTCTGTCTCGCTCCTCCTCGCTGCTCCTCCTCACACACCTCTGTCTCGCTCCTCCTCGCTGTTCCTCCTCACACACCTCTGTCTCGCTCCTCCTCGCTGCTCCTCCTCACACACCTCTGTCTCGCTCCTCCTCCTCCTCGCTCATACACAGCCAGTGTGAGCAGCTGAACGCGAGCGTACACAGCGTATATTCCTGCCTCTATCACGTCTCTCTGACTCTCACTCAGATTCAGACACTGCTAAATTTATTTTCACAGCTCCGTATAGTTTTCTCCAATGGACCCCACATAGCCGCCCTCGCGCCTGCCTGTTTACAAATCGCTTTCGGTGAAACATGTAATTGTAATAATGTACTTTTGGACAAAAAAAATCACGGAGGTCCAGAGAAAAGGGTTTCGGGGTCCGGACCTGGACCGCGGTCCGCCATTTGGTGACCCCTGACCTACAGTATATCATGACTCCCATCAAGGCTCCTGTGGACTCACCGCCTGCAGGAGGATCAGTGAGAGGCTGGTGCTCTGTGTACTGGGTGCAGCGCTGACTTTCACCTCCCCCAGACCCAGAAACGGATTAAGGGGAAGAAAATGGATGGATTTTTCGGTGGTAGACTTCCGCCTTCATCAGAGGTGACACGTGATGGTGTGACGCGTCTCGTATCAGCTGTTGTTGCCGGATGTGGTCAGTCTGACAGATCTCACAGATCCTTCAGACTCACCGCCATGTCCCCTGCCGCGCTGTGGTCTCTGGAGAAGTGAATCCCAAGTGTGAGCCAAGGTGTATTTATGTTCTTCTGTTCCAACCTTCCAACAGAGATGAGCCGGAGTTAATGTGTGTGGAGAGGGAAGTTTGGGTGTCTTCTCAGACTGCTGCCCCTGCAACCTGGTAACGGATAAAGTGGAAGATTTTTTTTTTTTTAATGGATTTCTCTTTAAAAATGCTTCGACTAGTATATTGTGTTCATTCTAGTGTCCTAGTATAAGCATTTAGTCTGGTAACAACACTAAAGTCTGATTATGAAGTTGTTAATGATTGTTTACTAAAATAGTTGATTATTGAAATTAATGGTTGTCCATTTTTAAAATAGTTGTACAATAATGTACAAATCAATACATGGTTTATTGAATCTTCCATAGACTTAAAACAAAAACAAAAAATAACTGCACAATGCAATGAAAATTTGTTAACAATCCAATGTGTAACAGTTGTCTCTGAAAGTCGGGTCAAAGGGAGAAAAATAAATCTCACTGAGCTTTTGAATCTAAACAACTAATCATTAATTATAGCCACGTAATCTATCAAGTGTTGCCATTAATCATTCCCAACCAAACAATAAACCAGAAAATATGCTTTCTGGCTCCAAGTGACTTGGACAGGGCAGGTCCGAGGGACTCAGCAGGTCTGAGGGACTCAGCAGGTCTGAGGGACACAGCAGGTCTGAGGGACTTGGACAGGGCAGGTCTGAGGGACTCAGCAGGTCTGAGGGACACAGCAGGTCTGAGGGACTTGGACAGGGCAGGTCTGAGGGACTCAGCAGGTCTGAGGGACACAGCAGGTCTGAGGGACACAGCGGGTCTGATTGACTCAGCAGGTCTGAGGGACACAGCAGGTCTGAGGGACAGAGCAGGTCTGAGGGACACAGCAGGTCAGAGGGACACAGCAGGTCTGAGGGACACAGCAGGTCTGAGGGACAGAGCAGGTCTGAGGGACACAGCAGGTCTGATTGACTCAGCAGGTCTGAGGAACATAGCAGGTCTGAGGGACTTGGACAGGGCAGGTCTGAGGGACACAGCAGGTCTGAGGGACTCAGCAGGTCTGAGGGACACACCAGGTCTGAGGGACAGAGCAGGTCTGAGGGACACAGCAGGTCTGAGGGACACAGCAGGTCTGAGGGACACAGCAGGTCTGAGGGACACAGCAGGTGTGAGGGACTTGGACAGGGCAGGACATGTCTGAGACTCCTGTCCGTACAGAAGACATGTCTGAGACTCCTGTCCTTACAGAGGACATGTCTGAGACTCCTGTCAGTACAGAGGACATGTCTGAGACTCCTGTCCATACAGAGGACATGTCTGAGGCTCCTGTCCGTACAGAGGACATGTCTGAGACTCCTGTCCTTACAGAGGACATGTATGAGGCTCCTGTCAGTACAGAGGACATGTCTGAGGCTCCTGTCAGTACAGAGGACATGTCTGAGACTCCTGTCCGTACAGAGGACATGTATGAGGCTCCTGTCAGTACAGAGGACATGTCTGAGGCTCCTGTCAGTACAGAGGACATGTCTGAGGCTCCTGTCCGTACAGAGGACATGTATGAGGCTCCTGTCAGTACAGAGGACATGTCTGAGGCTCCTGTCCGTACAGAGGACATGTATGAGGCTCCTGTCAGTACAGAGGACATGTCTGAGGCTCCTGTCAGTACAGCGGACATGTCTGAGGCTCCTGTCCATACAGAGGACATGTCTGAGGCTCCTGTCCATACAGAGGACATGTCTGAGGCTCCTGTCAGTACAGAGGACATGTCTGAGGCTCCTGTCAGTACAGAGGACATGTCTGAGGCTCCTGTCAGTACAGAGGACATGTCTGAGACTCCTGTCAGTACAGAGGACATGTCTGAGACTCCTGTCCGTACAGAGGAGATAAAGAAATTAGGGTAACACTTTACATTACGGGCCGGTAAGTCCATGGTACTTACAGTGGTACTTCTAGGTACTTACAGTGGTACTTCTAGGTACTTACGGTGGTACTTACGGTGGTACTTACGGTGGTACTTACGGTGGTACTTACGGTGGTACTTACGGTGGTACTTACGGTGGTACTTACAGGGGTACTTACGGTGGTACTTACGGTGGTACTTACGGTGGTACTTACAGTGGTACTTACAGTGGTACTTACAGTGGTACTTACAGTGGTACTTCTAGGTACTTACAGTGGTACTTCTAGGTACTTACGGTGGTACTTACGGTGGTACTTACGGTGGTACTTACGGTGGTACTTACGGTGGTACTTACAGGGGTACTTACGGTGGTACTTACGGTGGTACTTACGGTGGTACTTACGGTGGTACTTACGGTGCTACTTACAGTGGTACTTACAGTGGTACTTACAGTGGTACTTCTAGGTACTTCTAGGTACTTACAGTGGTACTTCTAGTGGTACTTCTAGGTACTTATTGTGGTACTTACAGTGGTACTTCTAGGTACTTACAGTGGTACTTAGAGGTACTTATTGTGGTACTTACAGTGGTACTTCTAGGTACTTATTGTGATAATTCTAGATACAGCTGTAACTTAGTAATTCAAGGACACTACAGTATTATTCCTATGTAGTAAATGTGGTACTTCTACATACATACATACAGAGGTCATTTGTAGGATTGTTTGACTATAAAACATAAAACAACATTATGTAAAACAAACGTCTTTATTAATATGGAATAAGTAGCACAGAAAGGACAGTATAAATACATGTAATGCATATTTCAAAACAAGTTTCAAGGACAAGGGAAACACTGCAAGAACTAGGTACCCAACCCAAGTAACAAGAATTACACATTACCAGGTACTTACCAGCCAAGTACCAGGTACTTACCAGCAAGTACCAGGTACTTACCAGCAAGTACCAGGTACTTAACAGCAAGTACCAGGTACTTAACAGCAAGTACCAGGTACTTACCATAGGGACTGGCCCATAATAAGACAAAGGACTTTAACATAAGTACCAGTGATAACACCAGTAATTATACAGTAAGTACCAGGTACTTACCATAGGGACTGGCCCATAATAAGACAAAGGACTTTAACATAAGTACCAGTGATAACACCAGTAATTATATAGTAAGTACCAGGTACTTACCATAGGAACTGGCCCATAATAAGACAAAGGACTTACCCATAAGTACTAGTGATACCAGTAATTATATAGTATACCATGTACTTACCAGCAAGTACCATGTACTTACCAGCAAGTACCAGGTACTTACCATAGGGACTGGCCCATAATAAGACAAAGGACTTTAACATAAGTACCAGTGATAACACCAGTAATTATACAGTAAGTACCAGGTACTTACCATAGGGACTGGCCCATAATAAGACAAAGGACTTTAACATAAGTACCAGTGATAACACCAGTAATTATATAGTAAGTACCAGGTACTTACCATAGAAACTGGCCCATAATAAGACAAAGGACTTACCCATAAGTACTAGTGATACCAGTAATTATATAGTATACCATGTACTTACCAGCAAGTACCAGGTACTTACCAGCAAGTACCAGGTACTTACCAGCAAGTACCAGGTACTTACCAGCAAGTACCAGGTACCAGCAGTACCTTACTTACCAGCAGCAAGTACCAGGTACTTAACAGTAGCAAGTACCAGGTACTTATTACAGCAAGTACCAGGTACTTAAGGTAAGTACTGGTACTTACTATATAATTACTGGTGTTTATCACTGTACTTATGGTAGTCCTTGTCTTATTATGGGCCAGTTCCCTATGGTAAGTACCTGGTACTTACTATATAATTACTGGTGTTATCACTGGTACTTATGTTAAGTCCTTTGTCTTATTATGGGCCAGTCCCTATGGTAAGTACCTGGTACTTACTATATAATTACTGGTGTTATCACTGGTACTTATGTTAAAGTCCTTTGTCTTATTATGGGCCAGTCCCTATGGTAAGTACCTGGTACTTACTGTATAATTACTGGTGTTATCACTGGTACTTATGTTAAATGTTATTAAGTCCTATGGTAAGTACTGGTACTTACTATATTATGGGCTTATGTTAAAGTCCCTTATTATGGTAAGTACCTGGTACTTACTATATAATTACTGGTGTTATCACTGGTACTTATGTTAAAGTCCTTTGTCTTATTATGGGCCAGTCCCTATGGTAAGTACCTGGTACTTACTGTATAATTACTGGTGTTATCACTGGTACTTATGTTAAAGTCCTTTGTCTTATTATGGGCCAGTCCCTATGGTAAGTACCTGGTACTTGCTGTTAAGTACCTGGTACTTGCTGTTAAGTACCTGGTACTTGCTGGTAAGTACCTGGTACTTGCTGGTAAGTACCTGGTACTTGGCTGGTAAGTACCTGGTAATGTGTAATTCTTGTTACTTGGGTTGGGTACCTAGTTCTTGCAGTGTTTCCCTTGTCCTTGAAACTTGTTTTGAAATATGCATTACATGTATTTATACTGTCCTTTCTGTGCTACTTATTCCATATTAATAAAGACGTTTGTTTTACATAATGTTGTTTTATGTTTTATAGTCAAACAATCCTACAAATGACCTCTGTATGTATGTATGTAGAAGTACCACATTTACTACATAGGAATAATACTGTAGTGTCCTTGAATTACTAAGTTACAGCTGTATCTAGAATTATCACAATAAGTACCTAGAAGTACCACTGTAAGTACCACAATAAGTACCTCTAAGTACCACTGTAAGTACCTAGAAGTACCACTGTAAGTACCACAATAAGTACCTAGAAGTACCACTAGAAGTACCACTGTAAGTACCTAGAAGTACCTAGAAGTACCACTGTAAGTACCACTGTAAGTACCACTGTAAGTACCACTGTAAGTACCACCGTAAGTACCACCGTAAGTACCACCGTAAGTACCCCTGTAAGTACCACCGTAAGTACCACCGTAAGTACCACCGTAAGTACCACCGTAAGTACCACCGTAAGTACCACCGTAAGTACCACCGTAAGTACCTAGAAGTACCACTGTAAGTACCTAGAAGTACCACTGTAAGTACCACTGTAAGTACCACTGTAAGTACCACCGTAAGTACCACCGTAAGTACCACCGTAAGTACCCCTGTAAGTACCACCGTAAGTACCACCGTAAGTACCACCGTAAGTACCACCGTAAGTACCACCGTAAGTACCAACGTAAGTACCACCGTAAGTACCACCGTAAGTACCACCGTAAGTACCACCGTAAGTACCACTGTAAGTACCTAGAAGTACCACTGTAAGTACCTAGAAGTACCACTGTAAGTACCATGGACTTACCGGCCCGTAATGTAAAGTGTTACCGAAATTAGTGTATTCATAGTATATACCTTTCCTCCAACATTAGTTCTGAATAATGTCCATCTTTTTTTTTTCCTTTTTTTGCTTTAATTGTCTTATTAGAAGAACCTAAAAAGCCGTAAACATAAGAAGACAGAATGAATTTTCCACATATAACTTTTACTGCTTTTGCAAATGATTTGTTTTATTTCACCATTTAAGCCTTCGGTTTACCTCTAGAATGCGTCATAATACAGTATAATAGATATGAAGGACAGGCTCATGTTACCATTGAGGCTAACGTTATTGTACATGCAGGGTTCGTGCAGGCTTTGGCTCCGCTCTAAAGTCCAGAACCGTCTACAATTGGAGAGCCAACAGACTGCCCAAACAGTCCGAACGCATAGAAACACCAAGACTGTCTTCAAACGCAGATTGCTCAATGAGCTTTTAACACAAACAGACAAAACTTACCGCGACGGAAAATGAACAAACGTTAGCCGCGAGCGCTAACAGCAGGGACACAGGCGGGTTCGGAAACAAGGCAGGGCTGTCAAAGATCCATGGGCTGTGCTCATTTCAGTGTAGTATAGCTAGGGCTAACCCATCGCATGTTAGCCCCTTGTTTTTATCCGACATGGTAGCCAAGTGCGCTTTGATGATGTCGCTGTTTACGTTTCTGTTGCTCACCTGCCAATCACCCTCTTACTCTGACTGGCCCGGTATGTATCGTACCGGGCATAATAGCTTTTCAATTGAGGAATGCCAGACCGGCCTGCTCGCTGAAATTCCATGGAGGCGGGGCTAAAGGTCAGCTGGAGCCAGGCTAGTTCAGAGTGAAATTCTGAATTCTTTATAAACATTTAGAAAAGCATTCCTCAAGTGGATTACTGCTTGGTCTGTTTGGTTGGGACCATCGTCTCTGCTCTGGTCTGCAGTAACAAGAACAGATAGAAAAAAGTAAGAAAAATAACAATTGTAAAACGGAAAACAAATGTTTCAGAGATACTTAGGATTTTCTGCAGTTTCCAGTGCGTTCAAAAGTAAACACAGACCCATTCAATGTTTAATCATGTAACAACTTTGTTCCCCATAAAAACAGAACTGGGATTGTCTTGACAGTAGGAACTCCTGCCACCTCAGGACAAACACACTTCTCTTTCTGATGAAGCATTCGGGGAAACCATGAAGCTACAACAAATCCTTAAAAAGAGAAAATTCCAAAACAAATTTGCATACGTTCATTACAAAAAAAGGAGGAAATTGTCTCTGCTCATGACGTCCCAGAGGGTGAACAAGACTTCACAAGACTCACTTTAACTGAGTGAGTGGTTGGAATAGTCCATGTGCAGGTTAGAGGGCGGTGGTTGGAATAGTCCATATGCAGGTTAGAGGGGGGTGGTTGGAATAGTCCATATGCAGGTTAGAGGGGGGTGGTTGGAATAGTCCATATGCAGGTTAGATACGATAAGATGTGCTTTATTTATCTCACATAGGAGAAATTTACATGTCACATTTGGCATGAATAGGACACTCAGATTGTGCAAAAGGAGGAAATGTGCAAACATGTTACATGCAGGATATATATGTACAACAAAAGTGACAATAATTATGTACAACAAAAGTGACAAGTGTCAATTGGAAACAGTGTCAATAGTAGTGCAGGTTTTCACACAGTGATCATTTAAAGTGACTTATTGTACAGTCTGACAGCGGTGGGGATAAAGGCCCTGCGGTAGCGCTCCTTCCTACACTGAGGGTGCCTCAGTCTTCCACTGAAGGAGCTCCTCAGCTCCTCTACAGTCCTGTGCAGTGGGTGGGAGGTATTGTTCATGATGGAGGTGGCTTTGGCTAGCACCCTCCTGTCCCTCACCTCCTCCACAGAGTCCAGGGAGCAGCCCAGAGTGGAGCTGGCCCTCCTGACCAGCTTGTTCAGTCTGTTTCTGTCCCGCTCGTGCTGCCCGGGGCCCAGCACACGGCAGCGTAGTAAATGGCAGAAGCTACAACAGAGTCATAAAAAGTCCTGAGCAGAGGCCTGCTCACTCCGTAGGACCTCAGCCTCCTCAGAAGGAAGAGGCGACTTTGGCCCTTCTTGTGCAGGGCGTTTGTATTATGGACCAGTCCAGTTTATTGTTAATGTGACCCAGGTACTTGAAGCTGTCCACCAGGCCAATGAGGGGGGTGGTTGGAATAGTCCATATGCAGGTTAGAGGGGGGTGGTTGAAATAGTCCATGTGCAGGTGAGAAGGGTCGGCTGTCATATATAAATACAAACTACATGTAGCTCATGAAAATAGCATGAGGCTGATAGAGCTTTTGGTTTGATCATAAACTCAACTGTCATGTTCCACATCTTTGACAAACTCTAAATAATGAGTCTGTCCATCTGTAAAATGTACAATTGTCCACATAGTTCTGCTTCTGCCTCAGCGTCTTCGACCAGAAAGGAACAACACTTCTAGACCACTGGTTCTTTACCTGGGTTCGATCGAACCCCAGGGGTTTGGCGAGTCTGTCTGGGGTTCGGCAGAGCCTCCACAGCAGAGGTCCGGACATAAGAGAATTATCTAGTGATGGACAAACACTGATGCTCCGGAGCGTGTGGCTCTTCCTGAAGCAGATGCTTCTAAACACTGCGTTGGAGCGTGTATCAAAACAGCTGGTCACGTGTAATTGTAAACTCACATCATGTAAGTTGTTGTGAGTTCGTGCATTTTCTTGTTTTTTCTCTTTGAACAAGACGATGTTCATGCACGGCTCAATAAAAACACATATCTATGTCTTTTATTTTACTTTTCCCTCGAAGGGTTTGGTGAATGCGCATAAGAAGCTGGTGGGGTTTGGTACCTCCAACAAGGTTAAGAACCAATGTTCTGGACAAATACTATTGGAGCAGATGGATTTCTCCTCTGCTGATCTCACGGTGCCTTTGTATAAAAACAATTTCAGGTTAAAATACGAAGTAATGTTACTGTCCTTTTAACCGAGGCAAATGTAATGAAAACAAATGTTTCTTGTGTTTCTTTTTAGATCCACTCAGATGTTGCGGGTGCTCCTCCTGTGTACTATGTTCTCTGGATCAAACCCATATCTGATCCCTGGGGCCTCCTCCTCCTCAACTGTGGCCTCCTCCATCGTTACCTCCTCAGCTGAGACCTCTGCCACCGAGACCGACTCTAGTGTAGCTTCCTCCTCAACTGTGGCCTCATCCATTGAGACTTCCTTCATTGTAGCCTCCTCCACAGAGACCTCCTCCGCTGTGACCTTCTTCTCTCCTGTAGCCTTCTTCTCTGTAGCCACCTCCACTGACACCGCCTCCTCTGTAGCCTCCTCCTCCCCTGCGGTCTCATCCACTGACACCTTCTCCACTGTGGTCTCTTCCACTGACCAACGCAAAACTGCACGGGGCGACATCTGGCCTCTGTTCCCCAGAACCTTCCACCCACTCTGGAACTCATCGACCTTTCATACAACAGTCTCAGTTCTCTACACTCCAAAGACTTTTCTCGTTTCCCCAAACTCCGAGATCTTCTTTTATCCTTCAATAACATCTCTTTCATTGGTGAAAACGCCTTCCAGCACAACAGCCTACTTGAAACCCTGAACATTGTCGACAACTCCCTTCGACAAATCCCAGACAAAGCACTGCGTCATCTCTCAAACCTTCAATCTCTGGAGATGAATAACAATTTGTTTGAACAAGCGACACTACCAGAAAGCTATGCTAACTTGCCCAAGCTCCAAGTGCTAGCGATAGGTGGGCTTTTGGTGAAGGGGCTCAGCAAAGAAGACTTTAAACCCATCAGGAAGAGTTGGCTTGAAGATTTTACAATACAGTGTTCTTCCAGATTACAATATTACGAACGTGGCAGTTTGAAAGTTGTCCAAACCCAGAACATGCATATTGCAATGCCGTTAGACACTTTACCAAATTCTCTGTTAGACATTCTCAGTGATCTGGCAAACAGGAATTTTACCAAGCTACAGTTCTACAAACTGTTTGACCAGACCTACTACACAGGGACAATGGATATTTTCAGGGGCTTGGAGAACATCTCAGCGTACAGACTGAACCTTTTCAGAGGGAAATATAACCAAAACCTTCTAACGATGCTGCTGCAGAACCTACAGAAAACTCAGAACATAAAAGGACTGAGGCTGCGGTACATAGACTATGCCCAATCTCATTCAGTTGTGACCAGGGCAGCAGTGTCCAGTATCACAAACCTCAAACTGGATTGCCTGGATTTCTGGTATAAGTATTATATCGGACGATTGTACAACTCACCACATATTCTGTCTTTCAATCAAAAATTATGTCTCTTTTGTTTTTTTCCAATTCAATTTGGAAACAAAGAAAGAACCAATAAGCTTTCTCCAACAGATAGATAGGTATAGATGCCACATCTATCTTTCTATATAAAGAAAGACAGATGGGGCGACAGTGGCTTAGTAGGTAAAGCAATAGCTTTTGAGCCTGAAGGTCGTAGGTTCAATCCCCCTGTGAGGTAGTGTAGCACGAGCGGTCCAAGTGGCAGAAGAACAAATACAAAGGCCCCAAAATTTACATCTCCCTTTCTCTTTTCCAGAACAGTCAGCAGTTTATACACAACAATATGTATCTGTAAACATAAACAATTACTGCACAGACAGAAACATAGCATAAACACAGTAATACAATAATACTATCAACATTAAACCCCTAAAACACTTTAATTGGTAAACCCCTCCTTTAAATGGGTGGAGATAGAGAGAGGTCTCATTCATGGATCTATTATAATAACTGGATAGGGTATTACTAGCTTGTAGCTGAATAACTCACGTGCTCAGGGGATTCTCGCGGTACTGCAGACTGAACCAGACTAAATTCACGTGGGCTACCCAGAAATTTTCCCCATAGGACTCAATGCAAATTAAAACAGCCCAACCTCAGCTGACAGAGAACCTACAGCTTTCATAAAGGTTGGATTTTGTGGGGATTTTAGTGTCCCTTGTCATCCTGAACTTTTTTTATTCTTAAATCCTTCGGTTTTGTTTAAATCCACACTTTAGTGCCACAAACTCTGCTCGTCTGTCTCTCGCTCTAACTCCCGCTCTGATGAACTGCTCTGATTGGTCAGAGCGCGGCCGAGCCCCTCTGTGCACGTGCGTGAGACCCGGTGTGAGACCCACACACGCGTGTTTGGGTCATTATGGGATTATGGGAGATCATCCACTGCGCAGAACCGGGAGGACCAGACGATGCCCAAATACAGGAGAGTTTCCCATAGATCTATGCGAGTTCCAGGCGACTTCCGCTAATCTTTCAGCCCCCATGCCGTCACAAAGCGCCAGTGAGCACAACCATTCATTTGAATAGGGCGCCAGTGAGCACAACCATTCATTTGAATAGGGCGCCATCTTGAATCGCCGGGGCTTGGTCTCATTCCCATGGGTTTAAAACCAGGAAATGCTCTGCAGCCCTCCCCTTTAATCCAGTGCTGCATGGAGCAGGTATGTGACAATCAGAGTTCTTCCCTCTAAACAAATGAATAAACACGTTTAAAGCATACAATAGTGTTTTTTTTTAATGAAGTTAGATAATACTTTATTGATCTCACACAGGAGAAATGTACATGTCACATCTGGTATGGATAGAAACACTCCAGATTGTGCAAAAAGAAAGAAAAGTGCAAACATGTTAAATGCAGGATATACATTAATGGCAATCAAGAAACAGTGTCAATAGTAGTGTAGGTTTTTTTCAGTCATATACAGTGACTTAAAGTGACTTATTGTACAGTCTTACACTGAGGGCGCCTCAGTCTTCCACTGAAGGAGCTCCTCTAGTCCTGTGCAGTGGGTGCCATGATGGAGGTGACTTTGACTAGCACCCTCCTGTCCCTCACCTCCTCCTCAGAGTCCAGGGGCCTCCTGTCCCTCACCTCCTCGACAGAGTCCAGGGAGCAGCCCAGAGTGGAGCTGGCCTTCCTGACCAGCTTGTTCAGTCTGCTCCTGTCCCACTCTGTGCTGCCCGGGACCTAGCACACAGCAGCATAGTGTATGGCAGAGGCTACCACAGAGTCATAAAAAGTCCTGAGCAGACAGAACATACTGTAAACAGCCAAAACAGGAGCAACATCAAGACTAAACAAGGGGTGACAATCGGGGACTCTGTGCTTGCGAACATATGCGTTTTCATGCTCCCGTGACCTTATGCAACTGCTTCGAGTGTGTTCGCAGATGCGGAAGTACCGTTTCATAATAAAATAAACTTATTGCTCTTTGACAAAGCCGTGAACCTCAAAGAAGCGCTTCTAAGTGGAAACAAAATCAAGTACATTCCGCCAAACTGGAAAAGCCCAACCCTGCGATCGCTGGAACTCGATGGGAATTCTTTTGGTGTCATAACAGTGAACTCATTTCAAGATATGCCGCTGATGAAATCTCTCAAAGCGGGGAACAATCCTTACCAGTGCACGTGCGAGCTGCATGCGTTTTTTGAGGACACCTTGTTGAAGGCAATGGTGAATTTAACCGACTGGCCGTGGAACTACCACTGCTACCACCCACAGGCTCTGCTCAACACCTACATCTCCAAGTTTGTCCCAGGTACAAATGTATAGTTTCATTCAATTCCATTTATTTTTGTTTAATCATAACATTGGAGATGTTCTCGATTTGCCAACACAGATCATGAATTCAAACATTTCATACACAGAAAATGTAATACTAAAATAAAAAAACACAGAGCATTTACATAAACAAATGGAGAGGCTGTAAATTCAGGACTGAGGCTGTAGATCCAGGACTGAGGCTGTAGATCCAGGACTGAGGCTGTAGATCCAGGACTGAGGCTGTAGATCCAGGACTGCAGATGTAAATCTAGAATTCAAAACTAGCTCAAGATCAGGAGATAGTCAAATTGGAAATAGTCAAATTCTGAAACACATACAGTACTTTTTTCTGTTCTCACAACAACACCGTCAGACTCTGTCTTCTCTGCTCGTCCAGGGCGTCTGGTGTGTGACGTCCGACTGGTTGTCCTCATTGCCGTGGCCACGACTGCTGCTTTCCTCATGGCTCTGATGGTGGTCTGCTACGTCTACGTCTGGTACACCAAGGCCACGTACCAGATCTTCAGAGCCAAATACCGAGCCTACCAGACCCCGCCTGGAGAGGAGGCCATGCTCCGGTACCACGCCTTCATCTCCTACAGCCACTGGGACGCCGACTGGGTGAGGGACCAGCTGCTGCCCGCTCTGGAGGACCGCGGGAACCCTTACCGTCTGTGCATCCACGAGAAAGACTTCACACCCGGGAAGTGGATCATCGACAACATCATCGAGAACATTGAGAACAGCCACAAGGTACAAACAAGAAGGAAAAGTATTCAGACTCAAGGTCCAAGGAGAGACTATTCGTGGATGATGGATTCAATGTCATTCATTTCACTGCATTTTGTATTTTGTTTTTAAAAATACAGAAATTTCTCCATTGGAATGAGAAAAAAGCTATAGTTTTTTAAATAAGACTAAATGGCTTCTTCCCATTGGAGAATCTTGTTTTAACACAGGCAGATTGTGCTCAGATTAAGATTAAAACCACATATTTTATAACTTTTTTTCCTGTTAAAGAGGGCCAACAGTATGACTGAGGCACATATAAGGGATGTTCAATTTTAAACACCACCACTAGAGAGTGCCATTGTTTATAATAAGATTTTAGTGACTTCTGGATGCAGAGGCCTGTGCTTAGTATGGACTGTGTCAAGAACACAGAGTCCCAGGAGCACAGGGACTGGCCTCTTCTGGTTCCCAGAGTCAGGACTAAACATGTGGAGGCAGCCTTTCTGATTTATTTAGCTATAACCTGGAAAAATCTTCCTGAAAATGTGAGACAGGCTTCTTCTCTGACAATTTTCATATCCAGTTTTAAAATATACAATACAATACAATACAATTTATTCTGTATAGCTGTAACAAACAGGCCGTTTGTTACTTTACACACACGCACTTTATGCACACTGCACTTTTGAACATTGCTAATTTGCACATATAAAGACATTGCACACAATTGTCATTTTAAAATGTTTATTTAAAGTGCTGTGGTTGTTGTCCGTGGGTCCGGTGTGGTGTGTTCCGGGTGGTGGCGTCGGTCCTGCGGAGGCAACGTCTGATTAGAATTGGGCATAGTGCAATGATATGTGTAGTTTTAGAATTGGTAATGTTGGTAGTGTTTTGTGCATGCGGTGAATGGTCTGGTGTCTGCGTGTGGGAATGTGTGGGTGAGCGCAGTTTGTTTGCCTTGTTCTCTTGTGTCCAGGGTAGCAGTGTCTGTCGAAAAGAATCCGTGGGGAACAGACGCCGCTAAAATCCGTTCCGGGCTGGACCAAGGGGCAGAACAGGCTGGGGGGAGGACTGCAGGGTTGTCTTAGTTTATTTAGTTGAGTGGTTTTGGTGGGGATGGTGTATAGTGGGGTTTTTCTGTGTCTTTGTATTGTGGTTGGGGGTTATATTAGAGGGTTGTAGATAGAGGTTGGGAGAGCAGATGTGACATGTGGACACCTGCTTTTCTTAGTGGTTTTGACCAATTTAAGGGGAGGGTATTTAAAGAGTCTCATGCTCTCACTCTGGGTTGGGTGCTGGATGAGTGACACTGCTTGAGTCCTCCTATGCACTGCATTTGCACTTTACTATGATGAACTTTCAATTTTTGCACACAAAAAAAGAAAATAAATGTGGAAAAGTGGACCCTCAAGACTGCCTCCCTGGTGTTTGTGTGCCCCCCGCCGCCCTCTCATGCCTCCCTGTTACAATAGCCCTAGGTCACAACAGAAGTCATCTCAGAGACTTAACAAAACAATTGAAATCACCAACACAGGTCAGAGAATCAACAAACTATAAAGCACACACAAAAAATGTCCATACATGTTGTAGAATGTTAAAGTGTCCTGATCATCACCAATCCTTTCTGTTGGACACTAACTGTCCAACAAGACCCTCCTGCATCGACAAGGAAAAACTCTTCAAAAACCCAGTGGGAAAAAGTGAGAAACCTTGCTGAGACCTAGGGAAACCCAGAGGGAGACCCATTTGAGAAAGGGATCCGCTCCTCCGGACGGACAGGCTAATGATCTAGGACCTAAGCTAGCTACAGAACGTGGACCAGTGGACGCTGAACGTGGACAGGTCCGGTGCAGGACTGAAGCACTCCCAGGCGGGTCGGGCAGGGCAGTCCGCAGGTGTAGATGGAGGAGGCCAGGCTCAGAGATCCCGTCATCGTACCATGAAACAGACTATGGGACAACGGGTGAATAGAAAGGAACAAACTACAGTCAAAATCCTAGTAATGCTAAACAGGTAAAGTAGGAAGAGGATAGTGCTCAAGTTACCAGACTTCTCCCGGCTAACTGACTCCCTATGCAGCTTGACTGACACTCTGAGTCTTACCTTCCTAGCCATATGCTAAACTAAAGAGGGCTGTTTTAAACCTAGCCTTGAATAAAGAGAGCGTATCTGAAAGGAGGTTAGACAGCAGCAGCCTCGGCTAGGCTAGCCTAGGCTACAGCACCAATATTCCTGGATTGCACACCAAGTGTGCAAACCGATCCAGGCAAACAGCATAACTATATGCTGAATTAAAGTAGAGTGCTTTAAGCCTGGCCTTGAATGTGGAGACCGTATCTGCTTCCTTAACATAAATGGGAAGCTGATTCCACAGTAAAGGAGCTTGGTAGCTAAAGATTTTTGAGACCTTAGGAACCACCAGACGTCTGGCGTTTTGTGAGCGCAACGCTCAGCTTGGTTGATATGACACTAACGTGTCTTGGAGATAAGAAGGAGCCAAGCCATTTATGGCTTTATATGTTAAGAGAAGGATTTTAAACTTCATTCTGTACTCCACAGGGAGCCAGTGGAGTGATTTTAACACCGGAGTTATGTGCTCCCTCTTTTTGGTACCTGTTAAGATCCTAGCTGCTGTATTCTGAACGAGCTGGAAGCTCTTCAAAGAGGTTTTAGGGCACGCTGCCAATAAAGCGTTACAGTAGTCAAGTCTTGTGGTGACAAAAGCGTGAATACGTTTTTCCGCGTCACTTTTAGGAAGGAAATTCCTGATTTTAGCGATGTTCCATAAGTGGAAGTACGCCGTTTTAGTTGCTTGGCTTATATAAGCCTTGAAGAAGAGTTCTCCAAGATTCCCTGCAGTGTTGCTGGGTGTAATACTGACATTATCGAGAGTGATTATCTGGTTAGTAAGGGAGTCACGCAGGCGCTTCGGACCGAGTAGGATCACTTCTGTCTTCTCCGGGTTGAGAAGTAGGAAGTTAAGTGTCATCCACGTTTTAAGGTCCTTTATGCAGGCACTACGTTTTTCCAGCTGATCCGTGATTTGGCTTCATCGACAGCTGTGTGTCATCTGCATAGCAGTGGAAATTAATTCCATGATTTTAATTATGTTTCCTATCGGCAGCATGTAGAGAGTGAAAAGAATCGGTCCGAGTACCGAACCCTGCGGCACACCGAATTCCACTCCAGAAATAAATATTTCTGTTTAGCTGTGAATACAACTGAAGGATTGTATCTGCACTGTTCTTAATATACAGTGAGTATTTCGGATGTTAATGCTTTGTGTGATTGTTTCTATTGTGTTTTGTTAAGCTCTTGTTAAGCTCTTTGTGTCGGACCTGTGCTTTACAAATAACCTTTGCCTTTTCTTGCCAGATGATCTTCGTGCTCTCTCGGCATTTCGTCAACAGCGAGTGGTGCAACTATGAGCTGTACTTTGCGCAGCAGCGAGCGATGGGGAAGACCTTCCACGACGTCATCCTGGTTCTGAAGGAGCCCATCGACCCCGGTTCTCTGCCCAACAAGTACTGCAAGCTCAAGAAGATGTTGAGCACCAGGACCTACCTGGAGTGGCCCCAGCAGCAGAACCCAGCAAGCCTTCTTCTGGGCTCAGCTGCGGAGCGTGCTGGGCAGACCGGCCGTGGTGAGGTCCAGGAGCGGGAGCCAGAGGAGCCGAGGGGGCTCTGAGGAGAGGGCGCCACTGGTGGACAGGCCTGGGTTAAGTGTGGAGGTCATAGAGGAGAGAGAGTGAGTGAGGGGGGCTGAGGGCGATTCCTGTGCCCAGGTTGTGTAGAGGGAGGACTAGTACTATAGTAAAAGCATTTAGACACAGCTCACTATTTAGCAACAGAAGCGTCAGGTCCTAATTCCTACTCAGAGCACAATTAAGCAACTGCCATAACCGTCTTGATTACAACACAAGATACAATAAGATAAAACGTTAGTGATCTCACAATGGAGGAATGTACATATTTAATTTTAGCCATAATTAGGTGTCGAATAGACAGGAAATATGCAAACAGTTCAAAATAAAGAAAGATATAAGGTGTCTTATGCTCAGTGAATGATGATGGACGCGCTTGTCAATCACTAAGATCACAAGAGTTGCGTTTGTTCGTTCTTCTGCTTTAAAACTGTGTATTATTTGTATAATACATTACCACTGAAAACTATTGTGTTTTATTTTGAAAAAAAAAATCCTCATTTCTTTCTTTTTTCTTCTGCACTTTGAGCCTTAATTTGACCACCTGAACATGCATGAAAACTTCCAAATTGTGGCCCAAAATACAGAACATGCAAAAAAATTATATTATGTGGAGTGTTTCTATTAGACAAAAAAAAATGGCAAAACAGCTCCCCCTAAAAAAGTCAGTTTACATTGCGCCTATGGGAGGGGGTCCAAGGTCAAGTTTGTCCTAGAGCCACTAAATTCAGTACATGTTCCTCAAGACATGAAAAAATAATAATTGTAGCCACGCCCCCTGACAGGGCCGTGGTTTTGTTTTTCTCTGAGTGGTTCCTCTCTGTTGCTGGAGGATCTAAGGACAGAGATGATCCGGTTATATTTAATAAAACCCGATAACGTTTTTTAACTGTCTGGAGGTGCGCCCTGAGTTCTCTTACAATGTCAACAAGAAGAGAACAAGGTTTGGGGAAAAAACAAGAGGCGGGCAACAGCAAAAGTTCCGTTGTCTGCAATGACGCGCGCCTCTCAGCCCCTGAGCTAACGGAGGAGCTAGCTGTGCTAATCAAGACAACAAATTTAATTTAATAGAACCACCCAAGAAGGCCAAAGTACTACCAGAAGTACACAAATCATAGTTTGACAGATGTAAAACAAACGTATTTACACATACACACATCTAGGGTCGGGGACATGTCTCATGAGGACCTTTTCACACCCCCGCCCCATTCCTTCATGGGGACCAATTCAATGGACTTTCACACACGGTTCAACTCATCAGCAGTCACTCAAAGTGTGTTATGGGGACATTTTGATGACCATTTCACACACTTCCATTCCTCCTTTACGGGGACCAATTCAATGGTCTTTCACACATGTTTAATAGAAGTCACTCAAAGTGTTTTATGGGGACATCGTGAGGGTTAATTTGAAAGAAACATTGAAGTAAAAAGTCCTTGTCTGCAAAGACCAAAAAAGGCTTAAAGTATTCTCCTTCCACTATTCCACTTACTGAATATAGTTTAATGAGTGACACAAAACAAATCTAAGATAATTGACTTCAAATGTTATAAAACCTTTTCAGAACTGACAAAGAACCTCTGGTATTTTGTCATGATTGATAAAAATTATCCTACCTGTTTCTGAGGGGCATCGTTTGCAAATGACGTATTCATGTGGCACTGAGGCTGGTCAGAATGATCAACAGAACCTGGAGTAGTGCAATCTGCTGTCACGTGGGTCATCTGTGGGAAACAGAAGGTATGAGGATTTACAATAACACACTATAATAATCACCATCTCAAACAGAGATCACAAATTTAATTTAATATAACCACCCAAGAAGGCCAAAGTACTACCAGCAGTGCACAAATCATAGATTGACAGATGTAAAACAAACTTATTTGCACATACACACATCTATGGTCGGGGACATGCCTCATGAGGACCTTTTCACACCCCCGCCCCATTCCTTCATGGGGACCAATTCAATGGACTTTCACACACGGTTCAACTCATCAGCAGTCACTCAAAGTGTGTTATGGGGACATTTTGATGGTCATTTCACACACTTCCATTCCTCCTTTACGGGGACCAATTCAATGGACTTTCACACATGTTTAATAGAAGTCACTCAAAGTGTATTATGGGGACATCCACTCGGGAGAGTCAAATTTCAATTTCACAAACACCAACACACCCACCACCAGTACACCAAAAAGTTCTCAACTACTAACACCAACACTTCCATTCCTCCTTTACGGGGACCAATTCAATGGACTTTCACACATGTTTAATAGAAGTCACTCAAAGTGTATTATGGGGACATCGGGAGAGTTCAATTTAAAGAAACATTTGAGTAAAAAGTTCTCGTCTGCCATGACCGACAAAAAAGGTAAAAATACTTTCCTTCGACAATTCCACTTACTGAATATAGTTTAACGAGTGACACATAACAAATCTAAGATAATTGACTTCAGATGTTATAAAAACATTTCAGAACTGACAAAGAACCTCTGGTATTTTGTCATGATTGATAAATATGATCTTACCTTAATCTGATAGGCATCGTTTCCAAATGACATATTCATGTGGCACTGAGGCTGGTCAGAATGATCAAGAAAACCTGTAGTTGAGCCATCTGCTGTCACATGGGTCATCCGTGGGAGACAGAAGGTATAAGGATTTTTAATAAAACACTAAAATAATCATGGTCTAGAACAGAGATCACAAATTTAAATTTAAAGAACCACCCAAGGGGGCCCAAGTATTACCAGCAGTACACAAATCATAGTTTGACAGATGTAAACCCAACTTGTTTGTACACACACACATCTAGAGTCTGGAACACGTCTCATGAGGACCTTTTCACACCCCTCTCAATTCCTTCATGGGGACCAATTCAATGAACTTTCACAAACAATTCCACTCATCATCAGTCACTCCTAGTGCGTTATGGGGACCTTTTTAGGACCATTTCAAACACTTCTATTCCTTCTTTACGGGGACCATTTCAACAGACTTTCACACATGATTAAACTCAACAGAAGTCACTCAATTTATTATGGGGACATTGTGATGGTTCATTTGAAAAAGGCTAAAAATATTCTACTTCCACTTATCTACTTACTGAATATAGTTAAATGAGTTAAACATAACAAATCTTATATAATTGACTTCAAATGTTAAAAAGCTTGCTCAGAACTGACAAAGAATGGTCAGAATGATCAAGAAAGCCTGTTGTAAAGCCATCTGCTGACACGTGGGTCATCTGTGGGAGACAGAAGGTATAAGACTTTACAATAGAACACTATAATAATCTATAAGTCTAAAACAGTGCTCCAATTTTTCCAACCAAGCCCCATGTTATAAAATACTGAAATGTACCACCAGGTCTGGATCACCATGAAACAAGATAAGAGAAACTTAATTGATCTCACAGTGGAGAATCAGGGTTTATAAAGGTCTAAACTAGACTTCCTGAAGTCTACCTAAAGCCTTGTCTATAGCAGAAAACTCCAAGCTCCAAGTCATAACTAAAACAATCATACAATGTAAAATCACCACCATAGGAGGCCATTTCACACACTTCCATTCATTCTTTATGGGGACCAATGAAACAAACTTTCAAACATAGTTCAAGTCAATAGCAGTAACTGAAAGGGCATTCTTTGTATTAGGTTAGAAATAAGCAATTATTTTAAGCGTGTGTTTGTGACATACTCTTTCTCTCCATGGGCAGTCATCTCCACCATAATCATAAGTAATTTCTTCTCCTTCTTTTTTGTCTCGTAATGCTTCTTTTCATCTTACAATTTGGGTGGATGTGGTCATCATTAACAATACGCCCAAATGTGCCATCTTGTACTGAAGCATCAATGCTGAAAAAAAAGAAATATATATATTGATATATAAAAACTTTTAAACACATATAGTACATACATTATACAGTATAGTGCTACAATCACCAAGCTTACATACTCAAAGCTTACCTATATTTATCAATTCAAATTATATAATACAGAGACAGCTTTTTCAGCTAAATTTTCAAACCCCACAGACAGAGGTTTTTCTGGGCTAATTCGTGGTGCCATTTAAATCATCAAAAACTGAAACAACAGAATGCATAATTATGATTTCACTTGAGTCATTTTTTGAAACAATTCTATTACATTTGTAATTTATTTTATCTGTAGGTTTGGTACAGCTGTTTCTACTATATTACTTCCAAATATCTTCTATATCTAATATATTTTAATACATAATTACAAATCAAACCTTTACTTTCAACATTTAGTCAGGTACTCAATTAATATATTCATCCAGTACTTCAGTAACTTTTCTTTTTCCTTTCTACTTGAAGAAATTAAATATTTCTGCTATTTGACCCACTTAATTCTTAAAATAAAACTAAACTGCAAACTACTTCTTAATAAGTAAAGCCACTATAGGTTACTGCTATTACATAGAAAGCTTTAGTTGTATCATTCAGAACCTGTATATGTACTGAGAAACCTTTAGTTGCTTCTTGAAAGTACCACACACAAGTTGATTACTATACGAGCTAGTTGCTAATGCTAACAGGTTGTATATTAAAATCACATCTAATCTTGCTTAAAAAGGGAAACCATGCAAAGTAAATCACTGAATCTGTACTTATTACACAGTTTATTCGTTTTGCATGAGCATTGAACAGATACAGTCTTTAGTATAGCTACCAGCAAAGAGTACTCAGATTCTTTAGCCTGTTTACTCTGACACTAGCTTGTTAGCAAAAATCGGTGCTAACTTCCTAGCTAGCTACTTCTAGTACATAAGAAGCTCTACTTATGTAATTTAGTCACCACTCGTTTACTGCGAAGACAACTGTTCGCCATCTGAATGTCCTTTTAGAAGGGAACATTGACCCATGTGCTGTTTGGTAGAATCTGCTGTCCAAGCTAGTTGCTAATGCTAGCTCCAACAAGTTGCCAATGCTAGCTCGAACCAGTTGCATTAGTCTGTA